TGTCACTCTCTACACCCCTCGAAACTCCAGGGGTTACGATCACTATCGACCCGCGGTACCATCCTCGATACTCCAGGGGTTACGATCACTGTCGCTCTCTACACCCCCGGTACGATCCTCGATATTCCAGGGGTTACGATCACTGTCGCTCTCTACACCCCGGTACCATACTCGATACTCCAGGGGTTACTATCACTTTCGCTCTCTATCTACACCCCGGTACCATCCTCGATACTCCAGGGGTTACGATCACTCTACACCGCTCTCTACACCCCTCTCTACACCCTCGGTACCATCCTCGATACTCCAGGGGTTACGATCACTGTCGCTCTCTACACCCCCGGTACCATCCTCGATACTCCAGGGGTTACTATCACTATCACTCTCTACACCCCCGGTACCATCCTCGATACTCCAGGGGTTACTATCACTATCACTCTCTACACCCCTCGTTACTCGAGGGGATACCATCACTATCACTCTCTACACCCCCGGTACCATCCTCGATACTCCAGGGGTTACCATCACTATCACTCTCTACACCCCTCGATACTCCAGGGGTTACCTCTCTCCCTGACTCCAGGGGTTACCATCACTCCAGGGGTCACTCTCTCTACACCCCTGGACCATCCCCTCCAGGCGGTACCATCCTCGATACTCCAGGGGTAACAATCACTATCACTCTCTACACCCCCGGTACCATCCTCGATACTCCAGGGGTAACAATCACTATCACTCTCTACACCCCTGGAACCGTCCTCGATACTCAAGGGGTTACGATCACTATCACTCTCTACACCCCTGGTACCATCCTCGATACTCCAGGGGTTACTATCACTATCACTCTCTACACCCCTGGTACCATCCTCGATACTCCAGGGGTTACCATCACTGTCGTTCTCTACACCCCCGGTACCATCCTCGATACTCCAAGGGTTACCATCACTATCACTCTCTACACCCCCGGTACCACCCTCGATACTCCAGGGGTTACCATCACTGTCCTTCTCTACACCCCTGGTACCATCCTCGATACTCCAGGGGTTACTATCACTGTCACTCTCTACACCCCTCGTTACTCGAGGGGTTACCATCACTATCTCTCTCTACTCCGCCGGTACCACCCTCGATACTCCAGGGGTTACGATCACTGTCCTTCTCTACACCTCCGGTACTATCCTCGATACTCCAGGGGTTACGATCACTGTCTCTCTCTGTATCCTCGATACTCCAGGGGTTACATCACTCACTCTCTCTCTGATACTCCAGGGGTCCTCACTTACTCTCTACACCCCTGGTACCATCCTCGATACTCCAGGGGTTACGATCACTGTCGCTCTCTACACCCGCGGTACCATCCTCGATACTCCAGGGGTTACGATCACTTCACACTCTACACCCCCGGTCCATACTCCTCGATACTCCTACTGTATCCTCGAGGGGTTACAATCACTATCACTCTCTACATATCCTCACTCACTATCACTCTCTACACCCCGGTACCCCTCGATACTCCAGGGGTTACAATCACTTACTCTCTCTGTATCTTCGATACTCCAGGGGTTACGATCACTTTTTCTCACTGTATCCTCGATATTCCAGTGTTTACTATCACTTTCTCTCTCTGTATCCTCGATACCCCATGAGTTAAAATCACTTTCTCTCTCTGTATCCTCGATACCCCAGCGGTTACAATCACTTTCTCTGCCTGTATCCTCGATACCCCACGAGTTAAAATCACTTTCACTCTCTGTATCCTCGATACTCCAGGAGTTACGATCACTTTTTCTCTTTGTATCCTCGATACTCCAGGGGTTACAATCACTCTCTCTACACCCCTGGTACCATCTCGATACTCCAGGGTTACAATCACTTTCACTCTCTACACCTCGATACTCCAGGGGTTACAATCACTATCACTCTCTCATCCCCATCCTCGATACTCCAGTGCTTACTATCACTTTCCCTCTCTGTATCCTCCATACTCCTTGGATTACAATCACTTTCTCTCTCGGTTTCCCTGACACTCAAGGGGATACAATCACTTACTCTCTCTGTATCTTCGATACTCCAGGGGTTACGATCACTTTTTCTACCCCCGGTCTCTCTGTACAGGGGTACCTCTCTGTATCCTCGATATTCCAGGGGTAACAATCACTATCACTCTCTATACCCCCGGTACCATCCTCGATACTCCAGGGGTAACAATCATACAATCACTTTCTCTCTCTGTATCCTCGATACTCCAGGGGTTACAATCACTTCTCTCTCTACTCTCTCTGTATCCTCGATACTCCAGGGGTTACTATCACTTTCTCTCTCTGTCATACCTGGAACGATCCTCCCAGGGGTTACAATCACTTTCTCTCTATATATCCGGGATATTCCAGGAGTTCAAATTACTTTCACTCTCTGTATCCTCCATACTCCTGGGATTACAATCACTTTCTCTCTCTTTATCTTCGATACTCCAGATGTTACGATCACTTTCTCTCTCTCTCTATCCTCGATACTCCAGGGTTTACAATCACTTTTTCTCTCTGTCTCGTCGATATCCCAGGAGTTACAATCACATTCTCTCTCTGTATCCTTGATACTTACAATCATTTTCGCTCTTTGTATCCTCGATTACCCCAGGAGTTACAATCATTCTGTCTCTCTGTATCCTTGATACTCCAGGGGTTACAATCACTTTCTCTCTCTGTATCCTCGATACTCCAGGGGTTACAATCACTTTTTCTCTCTGTATCCTCGATACCCAAGGGATTACAATCACTGTCTCTCTCTGTTTCCCTGATACTCCAGAGGTTACAATTACTTTCCCTCTCTGTTTCAATGACACTCCAGGGGATACAATCACTTACTCTCTCTGTATCCTCGATACTCCAGGGGTTACGATCACTTTTTCTCACTGTATCCTCGATATTCCAGTGTTTACTATCACTTTCTCTCTCTGTATCCTCGATACCCCACGGGTTACAATCACTCTCTCTCTCTATATATATATATATATATCCTCGATACTGCAGGGGTTACAATCACTTTCTCTCTCCGTATCCTCGATAACCCAGGGGTTACAATCACTTTCTCTCTCTGTATCCTTGATACCCAAATGGTTACAATCACTGTCTCTCTATGTGTCCCTGATACTCCAGGGTTTACAATTACTTTCTCTCTCTGTATCCTCGATACCCCAGGAGTTAAAATCACTTTCACTCTCTGTATCCTCCATACTCCTGGGATTACAATCACTTTCTCTCTCGGTATACTCCATACTCCACGGGTTACAATCTTTTCCTCTCTCTGTATCCTCGAAACTCCAGGGGTTACAATCACTTTCTCTCTCTTTATCTTCGATACTCCAGATGTTAGAATCACTTTCTCTCTCTGTATCCTCGATACTCCAGGGGTTACAATCACTTTTTCTCTCTGTATCCTCGATACCCAAGGGGTTACAATCACTGTCACTTTCTGTTTTCCTGATACTTCAGGGTTTACAATTACTTTCCCTCTCTGTTTCAATGACACTCCAGGGTTTACAATTGCTTTCTCTCTCTGTATCCTCGATACTCCAGTGTTTACTATCACTTTTTCTCTCTGTATCCTCGATATTCCAGTGTTTACTATCACTTTCTCTCTCTGTATCCTCGATACCCCAAGGGTTACAATCACTCTCTCTCTCTATATATATATATATATATATAATCGATACTGCAGGGGTTTCAACCACTTTCTCTCTCTGTATACTCGATAATCCAGGAGTTACAATCACATTCTCTCTCTGTATCCTTGATACCCAAATGGTTACAATCACTTTCTCTCTCTCTGTCCCTGATACTCCAGGGTTTACAATTACTTTCTCTCTCTGTATCCTCGATACCCCAGGAGTTAAAATCACTTTCACTCTCTGTATCCTCCATACTCCTGGGATTACAATCACTTTCTCTCTCGGTATACTCCATACTCCACGGGTTACAATCTTTTCCTCTCTCTCTCTCTCTGTATCCTCGATACCCCAGGGGTTACAATCACTCTCTCTCTCTCTCTGGATCCTCGATATTGCAGGGGATACAATCACTTTCTCTCTCTGTATCCTCGATACTCCAGGGGTTACAATCACTTTTTCTCTCTGTATCCTCGATACCCAAGGGAGTACAACCACTGTCTATCTCTGTTTCCCTGATACTCCAGGGGTTACAATTACTTTACCTCTCTGTTTCAATGACACTCCAGGGGATACAATCACTTACTCTCTCTGTATCCTCGATAATCCAGGGGTTAAAATCACTTTCTCTCTCTGTATCCTCGTTATTCCAGGGGTTACAATCACTTTTCTCTGTATCGTCGATACCCAAGGAGTTACAATCACTGTCACTCTCTCTTTCTCTGATACTCCAGGGTTTACAGGGATACCCAAGGAGTTACAATCACTGTCACTCTCTCTTTCCCTGATACTCTTTACCATTTCCCTCTCTGTTTCAATGACACTCCAGGGGATACAATCTCTTACTCTCTCTATATCCTCGATACTCCATGGATTACAATTTCTTTCTCTCTCACAGTATCCTCGATACCCCAGGGGTTACAATCACTCTCTCTCTCTCTATCTCTCTCTGTATCCTCGATACTGCAGGGGTTACAATCACTTTCTCTCTCTGTATCCTCGATAATCCAGGGTTTACAATGACTTTCTCTCTCTGTATCCTCGATACTTTAGAGGTTACGATCACTTTCTCTCTCTGTATACTCGATACTCCAGTGTTTACTATCACTTTTTCTATCTGTATCCTAGAATAAGGCTAACTATTACAATCAGGTTGATTTATAAATTATTGGTCTTAATTCCTTACTTCTCTGCATTCATTGGCGACTTGAGATATTTGTTATCTCATTTTTCTAATGATCTTCCTCGTGTCTCCTCGATACCATCTCATTTTTTGCCTTAAGGTTAGCGTTCGTTCTTTTGAGGCAATATTTTGGTTCTCTCCACTGACTGCGACATGCCGAAGCCTTTCAAATTTGTTAATGTAACAACTGGTTTGCCTGTTATCAGTATAATATGACCGGATGGAGTGTCCTGCTGGGGGCGTTTGTCAGTATGCTTCAGTAGGATAGTGTCGGCTTCACTTCCGCTCTATCACAGGAAACCTTATTCGAACACATCGCAGCTTCCCAAGGCAACACAAGCACTCACCTAACGTACATTGGAAGGTTGATTAAAATCTGTGGCTGTTGAAAGAACGTCAAACATTGTACTTAAAATCAAACCATTTATATGTACTCAGGAAACAGGAACTCTCGCTCATTAAAGTATAAGTTTTTTATGAGTTGGTGAAATGAAGTATAAAGTGTTAAGTTTTTTTAATCGAAAATTTGCAATATAAAAACGTGCACCGGTAAGTATACATGCATTATGAAATCTTTTCTCATCACCAAGATAAAGAACTCCACTCTAAACATTCTTAATGTACATATGTATCAACGGTGTGTACATTTTTACACTGTTTTATAAATCATCATTTTTGTTGACAGATATTCGGTTCAATCTTCGAACTCATGTATATACTTCGAAATTCCCGGAAGCGGACGTAGACCCTCGCCTTCGACAGCAGGAAGAGCGAATCAGCTTAACTGACATGAAAATTCACTTTATGAACCGGACTGTTAGAGTTTCGCCACTGAAGGTTAACGATTATCTTGTTGTATTGTAATAAGAGAAAAATTATAAATCTGTTTGTGATCAGATAAGCAATGAATCGTAATGGTTAAATCACATGCATGACAATAAAGACCTTTCGTAAGATATAACTATATGTAGTTTGATAGCGCGAGAGTACAACCTCCTCATAATTCTACTTTAGGTTGAATTTACTGATCAAGATTTAGACATATTGATGAAATTTGTGATCAGTGTTTTAACTCGGAGTAGATATCCTAGTGGTTTAAATCAAGTTAAGGCTTGCTGACTTTTGTTGTACGGTATGCTCTGCCTTGACAGCTTTATTGTCCTTCAGTTTTCACTGATACTATCATGATCAAGGATAGAAAATAATAGTTAAAATCTTGAATAATGAGTGAAATAAAATGTTGTGTGCCAGTTTACAGTTTTATCATCATACTCTGAACTGCTGACAATGAGTCTGAACAAGTTGTTTTTACAAAAGTATTTTTACGTCTAAAGATAGAAACACTGGTGTCCCTTCGGTATGAGATGGAAGATGGAGTAATGATCAGTGAAGTGACTGCGGTTTGCTTAGAAACACCATATGTTATAAACCTTCAGACGTTTGATGGAGAGGAAGAGACATACAGAATCAGAGTATGTGATCTGATTTGTTTGTGATATTTTATCTTGTTACTAAGCTTCTTTTTCTGATTACATTGGACAAACCATGGGGAATATTAGATGTAGGAATTGGTTTCCTGACATTTCTGATATTTTAGATTATCTAAACAAACCAATCACACAAATTTGATTGCAGATAAAACTGAGTTTCAATATTGAATGGTCGACAGTGCTCAAGTGATCTTATTGATCACATTTATAAATGACTCTTTAATGTGAGATTCAGGCTTTTAATATAACTGTTACTGTTACTATCTTTTTTAGAAAATCCGTGTTAGCATAAGAGCGATTGGTTTTTTTGTTTTTGTTTTTTTTTTTTTTTTTTATTATTATTATTGTTGTTATTATTGTTTTTTTAGTTTTTCTTTTTGTTGTGATTTTGATCAAAATCGATCCTTTTTAAAGCTTCAGGGTTGCCGGGTTAAGGTCGATCGAACTTCACATTTCTGGTTTTTATTACTTAAGTCAAGATGGACCAAGGCTTGAGGGTCCTGGTTACCAAACAGTTGTTATACAATGTCCACCGTTAGCAGGCCAGATTATGATCTGTCACTTCTATCTCATTGCATGATTGTCAGAGGCAGATATGCTTTCATGTTTTTCTAATCTACATTGTTATCCCTGAGGTCTCATTTCTCACTGACTTACCTTTAGTTGTGCGTTCATTCCTCCTATGAGGAAGGTTTTGGGTTCTGTTCCCGGCCGAAGATATCATAGTAAAAACCCTCCCTGCTTATCGCTCACCGTTATGGTTGTGTAATAGTGTGCGTGCTTTATGGTGTGTCCTTTTGGATTCCTTCAGTTAATAAGTAATACTGCCTCCAGTCCTGTATTTTCACACGAAGGAGCGTATCTCCTACAAATACACGGACAAACCTCTCCTTCATAGAGAGATGGTCCTTAAATAAGGAGAACTGTTGACCGCATAATATAAATCACCTAACATCGAAGTAATGCTTGGAGTGCTAAGCTGTTAATACAAACTAAAATTATGGTCTTGCAGGAATTGAGCTGGTCGATGAAGAACTCGAACCATTTGGCCTACCGGCATATAGAGGTACTGAATGAAGCTGGTTCCCTGATCACTGTGTTTAGTCTGACAATACTCTATTCATGTAAGTTATTTCTCGATATTGTCTGCTATACAACAGAAACTCCTCTTTGTTAAAGAACAGTAATATTGAAGCGAAATCATTCTTTGCTGCATTAACAAAAATTACCAAAATGATTAATTAAGATTGAGCGATTTTCTTTCATCGAACAAATTTCTTATAATTTTCTGTCCCATATACAGAATGGGATACACTTAAGTAATTGATATACAAGTCAATTATATGTCGAACTCACATTTTTCCTTGAAACTTCAATTTAGAATATCAGACTAGTATTGCGAGGTCAGAAGAAACATTCTGTATAAATTATAGTTCCATTTTCTAGACTTACCATACGATGTTGCGAACTACTTAGTGATAGAGGGATACTACCGTAAGTATATGTCATTCTTCTATACATTCTATTCATTGCAATTTAAATACAAAGTGATTTCTTATCGAAAGTTTCTCTATGAAAATTTTGAATTAAATATATGGACTACTTTTGGCATTGTTAACGTGTCTTAACGGGTTTTCATCTAATTAGGTCTAGTCAATAACTAGTAGCTTTATAATCTTATCGTCCGTGATTCGTGCGTCAGTTAGTCTCAAATTTCAGTTTCTTGATCCACTATTTCTGAAAAATGTGATAATATCAACATTTGCGTAATTCATAAGAGCGGGGCCAAATAAGCTCAATGTTTCATTTTTTCCTCAGTTCAGCAAAAATCATTTGATCATATTCTTGAGTTAGGAAAACTAGCCATTGAGTGGTCGGATGTGGTAAACATCCGGGGTTAAGGGAGTGGGGTCCGCCAAAAGACATAAAGATAAAATCTTTCAAACACTCTATCCGCTTGACTGAAATGAATTTAACCAAATTTGACCTAAAACGTTAAAGTAAATGAAGAGTCTAGTCACTACTGGACCAGAATGTCAGGTCCGGGGGAAATAGGTCTTTAAACTGATTTTCTTAGAAAAAAATTGACCAAACTGTTCTTCGAGCATTCTTTAACAAAGTTTGAAGAATTCAACGGAGAAGCTTAATTAAGATAAACGGACTTTAACTTTTGGTTGTATTGTAAGAAATATCATTAACATAAAATATTTTTTTGGGTGAAAATCTCTTTTAGCAATGGACTCTACAGCAGCAGTCAATATCACACCAGCTACTTCAGGTGCTGTTGAATCTTCCGTCATTGACCAGACGACAACATTTACCAACCCAATGACATTCCCTTTTGAACGGGAGACAGCTCCTCCCGACTCAACGACGATCCTTACTGACCCAATACCGACACTTATTCACGAAACGACAACCCTCATAGACTCAACGACAACCCCTGCTGACCAAATACCAACCCTAACTCACCAAACAACAACACTAAATGACCCATCGACAATCTTTGCTAATCCAACATCTCTTATCAATCCAACTATAACATTTACCGACTCAGCATCCCCCAGTCATTCATCAGAAACCCATAACGACCACGGCGTAACCTCAGCTGACCACTCGTCTATTTCCATTCACCAAACATTCACTCTCAGCGTACAACCAACTACACAAAACACAACTGACAGCAGTGCACCGTCTGGAACTACGGGTAAAATCGCTTTGTCATAAATCTCAGTATCGTGGTGAAGAGTGTAAATTTCCTATCAAGATTAAACGTTTTATGTTTTTATATAACAATTCTTTGTTGTCACGTGTCACGTTATATCTGACGGATAGTGTGTTCTTTGTTGTCACGTGTCACGTTATATCTGACGGATAGTGTATTCTTTGTTGTCACGTTATATCTGACGGACAGTGTATTCTTTGTTGTCACGTTATATCTGACGGACAGTGTATTCTTTGTTGTCACGTTATATCTGACGGATAGTGTATTCTTTGTTGTCACGTTATATCTGACGGACAGTGTATTCTTTGTTGTCACGTTATATCTGACGGATAGTGTATTCTTTGTTGTCACGTGTCACGTTATATCTGACGGACAGTGTATTCTTTGTTGTCACGTGTCATGTTATATCTGACGGACAGTGTATTCTTTGTTGTATTCTTTGACGGATGTCTTTGGTGTCACGTTATATCTGACGGACAGTGCATTCTTTGTTGCCACGTGTCACGTTATATCTGACGGACAGTGTATTCTTTGTTGTCACATGTCACGTTATATCTGACGGACAGTGCATTCTTTGTTGTCACGTTATATCTGACGGATAGTGTATTCTTTGTTGTCACGTTATATCTGACGGATAGTGTATTCTTTGTTGTCACGTTATATCTGACGGACAGTGTATTCTTTGTTGTCACGTGTCACGTTATATCTGACGGACAGTGTATTCTTTGTTGTCACGTTATATCTGACGGACAGTGTATTCTTTGTTGTCACGTGTCACGTTATATCTGACGGATAGTGTATTCTTTGTTGTCACGTGTCACGTTATATCTGACGGACAGTGTATTCTTTGTTGTCACGTGTCACGTTATATCTGACGGACAGTGTATTCTTTGTTGTCACGTTATATCTGACGGATAGTGTATTCTTTGTTGTCACGTGTCACGTTATATCTGACGGATAGTGTATTCTTTGTTGTCACGTTATATCTGACGGATAGTGTATTCTTTGTTGTCACGTGTCACGTTATATCTGACGGACAGTGTATTCTTTGTTGTCACGTGTCACGTTATATCTGACGGACAGTGTATTCTTTGTTGTCACGTTATATCTGACGGACAGTGTATTCTTTGTTGTCACGTGTCACGTTATATCTGACGGACAGTGTATTCTTTGTTGTCACGTGTCACGTTATATCTGACGGACAGTGTATTATATAATTGAATACAGCCAACATCAAAAAAATGAAAAAAAGATATTGACAAATGCTACTGCCTCGTTAAAGCTATCTATATGGCAGCTATGACAACTTTTTTTGCACAGTAAACGTTTTCTCATGTTTTGTCTAAACTGTTATTCTTCAGGTATATGTGAAATCCAATATGGCCGGCATTGCTGCCATTTGGAAAAACTCATTTTGAATCTCTTTTTAAAATTCCACTGGTGCCATTGAACTAATGTTTAGGAGGTGTGGAGAACCTGAACAGCGATGCTGGTTTTGTTCACATTTCCACTATCCCTATTTCACCATTGATCGGTATTTGATGTCAGATTACTGTTAAGATTCATGGACCTCCTGTGTTCCCAGAAACGAGATGCCAGAAAGAGTGCTCCTGTAGACAAAGCAACTGGGGAAATACAACTCTTGATGATTTGGAACCGGAAGTTCGCGCCGAAGTTCTCCGAATAATATCAGAACTGAAGTCCACTCTTACTGTTGAAAAGATCTCACTGTCAATGTACAGAGCAAAGAAGATTAGTGCTACTGACACAAGAACAACGTCATCCAGCATCGGTGCAGTTGGAATCGTCATAATCGTGGGCCTCGTATTGGTCCTCGTCGTAGCGGATGTGACCTCATTCTTCGCGCCGAAAAATCAGAAGCCGTACCGGAGGATCAAGCCAAAATGATTGTTTCATCGGCAGTGATTTTTTTCAGATCTGTGTACTAATGTACTTCCGCTTATTGTTTCTGACTTAAGAATGTTTCGATTAACTTGGAGGAGCGGAAATATGTTACAATTTTTTAAATATGGTAAAGGAAACCTTTTTTACGTCAATCGCTTCAGTAACAACTACGATACGTAGACAGTGCTCTGATTTCTGACGTCTGTGTTGGTGTAACATGAAAATAAATGCCTTTTTCACGCATTCAGTTGTACTTCTATATCATATGGTATGCTCATAATTTGATATCACGAAAAAAGGTGCGTCAAGAAATGTTAAAAAGGTCAACAGCAATGCTAAATGTTATATTTTTAATGATGTAAATATTTCCCCGGCTTGTTGTGATAGCTCTGTAAATACAGATCGGGGATCTAGATATACCACAGTTACTTTCTTTCCTTAAGCTTTTTATAACAAATCGTGTAAAATTAATTACACGAATTATTTCAACGTCAGGTGGAACAATATGTACCTATCCTATTCCAAATAAAAAATATGTAATTGGAGCCAAAATCCCATGAGATTAAACAGTGTTATCTGCTTTAATGATAAAGCATATCAAACTGTAAATAGGATTAATTAATTACGCTGAAAACAACAAACGGCAATAACTCTTCATAAAAATATCAATTCAAAACACTGTTAGTAATACAGTTTCATTTCTTGGTTAAAAAAGCAAACCAAGTGCTGGAGAGATTGGGTAGAAGCTCCAAAAAGGAGATAAAAGGATAAGCTAAAAATCATCTAGTTATAATTATCAATCAAGCTGATTATGAAATTTATTGTGTGGATGGGAGGGGGGCGGGGAGACAAACAAGCTGGCTGAGTATTATTTCATGTCCCCTACCGGCCCCGCAAAGTGTCATACTGTAATCATGTTTAGCATTGTGCGCCTAAATCATATTTGTTTGTTTTCAGTTTGACTCTACAGTATCCACTTTTGACTCCACAACATCCAAGTTTGACTCCACATCATCGACGTTTGACTCCACATCATCGACGTTTGACTCCACATCATCAACGTCTGACTCCACCTCATCCACGTCTGACTCCAAATCATCGCCGTTTGACTCCACTGTATCCACTTTTGACTCCACATCATCCAAGTTTGACTCCACAACATCCACGTTTGACTACACATCGTCTACGTTTGACTCCAAATCATCTACGTTTGACTCTACAGTATCCACTTTTGACTCCACAACATCCAAGTTTGACTCCACATCATCGACGTCTGACTCCACATCATCGACGTTTGACTCCACATCATCGACGTTTGACTCCACATCATCAACGTCTGACTCCACCTCATCCACGTCTGACTCCAAATCATCGCCGTTTGACTCCACTGTATCCACTTTTGACTCCACAACATCCACGTTTGACTACACATCGTCTACGTTTGACTCCAAATCATCTACGTTTGACTCTACAGTATCCACTTTTGACTCCACAACATCCAAGTTTGACTCCACATCATCCACGTTTGACTCCACATATCCACTTTTGACTACACATCGTCTACGTTTGACTCCACATCATCGACGTTTGACTCCACAGTATCAACTTTTGACTCCACAGCATCCAAGTTTGACTCCACAACATCCACGTTTGACTACACATCGTCTACGTTTGACTCCAAATCATCTACGTTTGACTCCACATCATCAACGTCTGACTCCACCTCATCCACGTCATACTCCAAATCATCGCCGTTTGACTCCACTGTATCCACTTTTGACTCCACATCATCCACGTTTGACTCCACATATCCACGTTTGACTACACTTCGTCTACGTTTGACTCAACATCATGGACGTTTGACTCCACAGTATCCACTTTTGACTCTACAACATCCAAATTTGACTCCACATCATCGACGTCTGACTCCACATCATCGACGTTTGACCCCACATCATCGACGTTTGACTCCACATCATCAACGTCTGACTCCACCTCATCCACGTCATACTCCAAATCATCACCGTTTGACTCCACTGTATCCACTTTTGACTCCACATCATCCACGTTTGACTCCACATATCCACTTTTGACTACACATCGTCTACGTTTGACTCCACATCATCGACGTTTGACTCCACAGTATCAACTTTTGACTCCACAACATCCAAGTTTGACTCCACAACATCCACGTTTGACTACACATCGTCTACGTTTGACTCCACATCATCGACGTCTGACTCCACATCATCTACGTTTGACTCCACATCATCGACGTTTGACTCCACATCATCAACGTCTGACTCCACCTCATCAACGTCATACTCCAAATCATCGCCGTTTGACTCCACTGTATCCACTTTTGACTCCACATCATCCACGTTTGACTCCACATATCCACGTTTGACTACACTTCGTCTACGTTTGACTCAACATCATGGACGTTTGACTCCACAGTATCAACTTTTGACTCCACAACATCCAAGTTTGACTCTACAGCATCCATGTCTGGCTCCACATCATCTACGTTTGACTCCACATCATCCACGTCTGACTCTACAGAATCCATGTCTGGCTCCACATCATCTACGTTTGACTCCACAGTATCCACTTTTGACTCCACAACATCCAAGTTTGACTCCACAACATCCACGTTTGACTCCACATCATCCATGTCCGACTCCACATCATCGGCGTTTGACCCCGCATCATCCACGTCTGACTCCACCTCATCCATGTCTGACTCCAAATCATCGCCGTTTGACTCAACTGTATCCACTTTTGACTCCACATCATCTACGTTTGACTCCACCTCATCCACGTCTGACTCTACAACATCAAAGTTTGACTCCACAGCATCCACGTTTGACTCTACAGAATCTACGTTTGACTCTACAACATCCACGTTTGACTCTACAGCATCGACGTTTGACTCTACAACATCCACGTTTGATTTTGCATCATCCACGTTTGACTCTACAACATCCACGTTTGACTCTACAGCACCACGTTTGACTCTACAACATCCACGTTTGATTTTGCATCATCCACGTCTCACTCTACAGCATCCATGTCTGGCTCCACATCATTTACGTTTGACTCCACAGTATCTCCTTTGGACTCCACAACATCCACGTTTGACTACACATCATCTACATTTGACTCCACATCATCCACGTCCGACTCCACATCATCGACGTTTGACCCCACATCATCCACGTCTGACTCCACCTCATCCACGTCTGACTTCACATCATCGACGTTTGACTCCACTGTATCCACTTTTGACTCCACAACATCCAAGTTTGACTCCACAACAGCCACGTTTGACTACACACCGTCTACGTTTGACTCCACATCATCTACGTTTGACTCCACAGTATCAACATTTGACTTCACAACATCCAAGTTTGCCTCCACATCATCCACGTCTTACTCCACATCATCGACGTTTAACTCTACAGCATCCACGTTTGACTCTACAGCATCCACGTTTGAATCTACAACATCCATGTTTGACTCTACAGTATCCACGTTTGACTCTACATCATCCACGTTTGACTCTACAACATCCACGTTTGACTCTACAGCATCAACGTCTGACTCTGCATCATCCACGTCTTACTCTACAGAATCCACGTTTAACTCTACATCATCCACATTTGACTCTAATACAACCCGCCTTTGACTCTGCATTATCCACGTTTGACTCTACAATATCCACATCTGACTCTAAAGCATCAACGTCTGACTCTACAGCATCAACGTCTGACTCCACAGAATCCACGTCTGACTCCAGAGTATCCACGTTTGACTCTACAACATCCACGTTTGACTCCACAGCATCCACGTCTTACTCTAGAGCATTCACGTTTGACTCTGCATCATCCACGTTTGACTCTACAACATCCACGTTTGACTCTGCATCATCCACGTTTGACTCTACAACATCCACGTTTAACTCTACAGCATCCACGTTTTACTCCACAGCATCCACGTTTGACTCTACAGTATCCACGTTTCACTCTACAGTATCCACGTTTGACTTTACATCATTCACGTTTGACTTTACATCATCCACGTTTGACTCTAAACATCCACGTTTGACTCTACAACATCCACGTTTCACTCTACAGTATCCACGTTTGACTCTACAGTATCCACGTTTGACTTTACATCATTCACGTTTGACTTTACATCATCCACGTTTGACTCTAAACATCCACGTTTGACTCTGCTTCATCCACGTTTGACTCTACAGCATCCACGTTTGACTCTACAACATCCACGTCTGACTCTACATCATCCACGTTTGACTCTACATCATCCACGTTTGACTCTACAACATCCACGTTTGACTCTACAGTATCCACGTTTGACTCTACAACATCCGAGTCTGACTGTACATCATCCACTGTTCCTTTAGAATCAGTGCCATATCCTAATACTTAGTACTAAAAGTCCCAAAAGCATTTTAACCTGGAAAAGGACCTCTTTCACGAACAATGGAATTTTGCCCACGACCCGATTTAATCCAAACCATGTGAAGTTTGTCAATTAGCAGCTTAATTGCGTGGAGTCAGAATCTCGAAAAGAATAAATCAAACTTAATCTGTACCCTTGCAACAAGAAGCCATATACCAAATTTCATTTCGATAACTCAAAGCATAAGCCAAAAAAGTCCGGAGAACCATATTCCCAGGAAATTTTCTATGTTGAAAGGTGCATAACTCTGCCAAAAGGGTCACAAACAGCTGGGAATCTACCTTAATCTGTATCCTGGCAACCAAAAGCCATATGCCAAATTTCATTTTGATAACTCAAAGTATTACCGAAAAAAGTCCGGAAAACTTTTGTACGGACGCCGACGACGACGCGTGACGACGGACAAAGTGATCCCTAAGTGTCCGCCAGCTCTGCAGGCGACACAAAAAAAACTTTGTTTTCTTTATTTTACAAAAAAAAAGAGAACATAAGAAAGACATTAAAGATTAAATGTTTTAGTAAAGATCTGAATGTATGTATAAAATTCACTGTATAAATATTCAGTAAGAAAGTAGTTCCGACGCACGCAAAAACATACAGTGTATTTCCGCTCGGCCAGAATACAGCAAAAGTATATGTAGCAGCTGTATTCCATTTACCGAAGCCCATGCAGTTGCAGGATAAAAAAAGGGTTATACTGTTGAGTTGAAATCCATAAATTCAATGAATCTGTATTGTAAATCAGCCATCCACTTGAGCCAGGTTATTATAGCCTTATTCCTGTAGTTAGACGTGGGCGATGCCTATGAAAATGGTGTATCTTAAAGAACTGATATGGGCCCTCCAGGCCTCTTACTTTACTTGCAAAGATGTTTTATATCCAATGTCATCTATAAACTTTCTTTATCTCTGTTTCATATTTTGAAGAACAAAAACAAAGATAAGAAATACATCACAACATCATATCAATCACATGATGTCACTTTCGAGATTCTGACTTCACGCAATTAAGCTGCTAATTGACAAACAAAATTTTTTCAATTTTTTGGCTAAGAACAGCAAATGTAAGGGGCCAAATTACATTAAAAGCGCTTGGGTGCACCGAAACCGGAAGAGTTTGAAACACTCCTCCTAAGATCAAACTTTGTTCTAAAAATCAAGAAAAAAACACAAACTTTTTTCTTATGCCAAATTCGACAAATAATGTTTGCTTAAAATGACAAATAGATTCCAATGAACAAAATAAGTGGTTATAAGAAGCCTTACGATGAACCCTTGCCTTGTTATGGAGCCATTTCTAAACCTTACCTTATACCCTCAGTAAATGTCACAAATTCTATAATAATTCAGGCCCTATGGGCCTTTTGAATTTCTTTAAGTGCTATTTCCGCGGGGTGTATTGGGGTGCTATAAATGCAACATGGTTTGGATTAAATCGGGTCGTGGGCAAAATTCCATTTTTCGTGAAAGAGGTCCTTTGACGCTGTAGTTAGACCCCTAAAACATCTCTTTAAAGTATCTGCGACATCACGAAGATTGCGTTACCCGCGAGTCGATAAAAAATATTCTGAGTATTGCATATTCTGGTATTGGTACCCCTCTAGGAAGTGTATCACTTTAAACAAAGCACAACCTCAAACAAAAGCCAGTTTCAAAGTTTTATTACATGATGAGGTCCATTTATGTCACTTAATATCCCCCACTATCTCTATTAACAGTGTAATTTTACGCGAATATGCCTTGCCTGCTGTATAGTGTGAAATTCAGATCTGATACCTGCCAGTCATTTGAGTGCTGTAGGTTAATTACTGTTTGAACTTTGAGGTAGATCATTCTCACAATATCTAAGACACATGATCCAAATAGTGGCTAAATTTCATATTTGTTAAACATTTACTAATTTCCTTCGTAAAAGCATCCTGAAACATCCGGTCAATTGTAGGATTTATTGGACAGACACGAAAACAAATCAAAACCTGAACTTCTCTTGACCTCCATTCTGTTTTTTTCTGGTAGGGAAGTAAAATATGTATGGTGTGTAAGGAGGAGCGCAATATCAACTTCTTCGATGTTTCTGTGAGATATTGTTTCGCTTTTCTTGACCACTTATTTTATTCATATGTTTTAAAATAGTATAATCTTTTCTTTCAATCCGAATAAAAAATTTGCCACACTGTTGATAATCCTTCTGATACTGGAAATTAAAGTATCATTCTGCATTTAACTGAATTTTGAATTGCCCTTCCCTTAATTTCGAATTTATGTCTCCGATGATGCATTATGCAATGAATGTTGAAAGAGGACCAGGGCATTCATATATTCATTGCGATTGTGTTACACGACTGTGAGTTGAATTTGATTTACCGAGCCAAAATCGATATTCTTATGTTCGGGTTTTCAGATAAGCATCATTATATATTCCATATGTCACTTCTGTGGCTTTGATCCGTACAGGAAAACTTATCGACAATGATGATGCATTTGCTATAATGTTTCAGTGATTTAATAACATCATATACAAATATTGGAGAGGAAAATATTTTAAAACATTCAAACAAATCGTTGGGGTGGCCGGTTGGTATAGATATTACGCACTTGCCGTTCACCTGCGCGACCAAGTGGGTTTTCCCTGGGTACTCCGGTTTCCTCCCACAGTAAGGCCCCTCACGCGCTTCCATAAAAAGCCAACACATGTGATTAATATTTGAAAAAACATGTTTCGCAATAACTGTAAAATAAAAAAAAATGTAAATGATTTGTTTTCCACAATGTTCAATTCTTTTCCATTAACCTTTGTTCCGTTTGTAGGTCTAAAATCCTCATAAGAGACAAGGTCAAATTAGTCGAGGTATGTAGAAATTCAAAAACCAGTCCGTGGTTTGTTCATACATTTTATGCATTTATATATATTTAAGAAGGTAGCCATTATGATCAATCCTGTGTTATCTTATTTCTACATATAAGAAAAAACGTTTAAATTTACAAGCCGACTGTGACGGCTTCGATGCATTGCTGGGATGGCCATTCTATATGACTAGGAAAACTGATAGACCATCTATGGCTCCAACAAACTGTTTCAGTGTAACGACGGTTTCGCCCGTTGTCAGTATACTGTGATCTGATAGGATGTCCTAAGGGCAGTATACTTCATTATGCTAGCACTGTAAAGGCATCCTTCGTTCTTCACTATAAGACGGATTTTTTACACTATCAAAACGCAGCCTCAAGAAAACACAAGCAGTGACCTCAGACTCTTACGTCATATATATAGGGAGGGTCTCCTGAAACGTGCAATATAAACAACAAACTATGCCCGCCCAGGTACGTAAAACTACCAGTTCCCTACCCATATCGTAGCCTTAAACGACCACGGCTGTTGTCAAAATCAAATCATTATCAAAAATATATAAATAATGAACATACGAGAACACACTTAGTCCATCAACATCATAACCGCCGGTCATTGTTTTTCGATGACAAATAAACGACATCTTTTGATAAACTAATATTCTATGCTACTTGAAGTGAAAGTACGAAACGTCACAATCATATTGTATGATTATATCAACCCTTGTTATGTTTATTTGCGTTGCTTTATCATGCATTTTGTTAGATATTTAGGTTGTACAAAGGACACACACGTAGATCGCACCTAACAATACGAGTCTAAAATGTGATAGAGTAGAGTCAGATAATGTAACATACAACTAGAACTCGTCAAAGTCCTATAGTGTAAAGCCTAAATAATAATTGATGTAAACTGAAACACACGTTCTATTCAAATGTTTTTATTATTAATACATTAATAGGTTATGGCAACCCGAAAAGAACGTTTTTATTTCTAGTGCAATGTGACAATACAGGACCTTTTTTATTTTTGTAGTTAAAAATACGTACACAAATCCTTGAAAATGTGATCAATTTGTCCGACATACAATGTAAACTTCATTCAATCTTAAACAGATCAAGCTGTTCGGTGGTCGCAGGTCAAATGTTTGATAGGAGAGGTTACACATATTTGTTAAATCCTACACTAAATCCACAACAAGTGTCCGCTAGTATTCTTCAATACTTCAAACAGATACAATGGAGGTAAGTAATGATTCAAGTTACATCATACAACTGTTTTGTCCTTCTAGGACTCAAAACTGTCGAAAAGAAATGTTAAAATCAAGATAGGGGAAGTCCACTAGCCACATAATT